CTGTCCTTTTCGGATGGTTGAGGAGGTTTCCCTTCTGCTGCTCATCTAGGCACCAGGAGAGAGGACGGCAAAAATATTTGAAAGGGTGATGGAAATCCACTTAATTGGAGCCCCCCCCCTTTTTTATCGCTCCCCACCAACTGGGGGCATCCTCTGTGAAGCAACGCCAGGAAAACCCGAATGGAGCTTCTCTTCCTTAAATTTCTTCAAGGAATTGCTCTCGGGGCTTCCCAGTTTCCCCCTTTCTGAATTGGGAGTCTGGACCCTCTGCCTCTTCTGTGCCGAACTGCAGAAGGGAGAATATTTTCAACCCTTTTTCTTGCGGTTTCCCCTTTCTTTCAGGAGCTGACTTTGTACTTCCTCAGGAGAAAAACGGGATCTTCTGCCTCCAGGCCAGAGAGCTCCGGGTGTCCTCTTTGAGATTTCTGGAAAACAAGAAAGTCTTTCCAGGTAAAGGTTTTTCGGCCTCCTGGGCAAGAGAGAGGGTGAAGGAGGTTTCGTGTGTCTTCCTTCCTATTTAACAGGAATAACAAAGGAAAACAAGAAGGTCTCTCCAGGTAAGAGGTTTTTACGGCCTCCTGGGCAAGAGAGAGGATGAAGGACGTTTCTTTTGTGGCTTCCTTCCTATTTAACAGGAATAACAAACTCAGAAGTAGCCTAGATCGACTTGATCTTGAATCCCCACCTCAAGGCTGGAATCAAAATCAAAGTAAATCTGGCAGATGGTGGTCTAGCATTTCATTTCCAGTCCTTGCACAATGATAGTTGCCCTCTTCTAAACTTGTCGAAGATTTCTTTTTTCTTTTTTCTGCTTCCTTTCCATCCTTGTTGCCCTCCTCTGTGTTAGCATTAAAAGTCAGAAGAAGCTTTTGCCTTATGAAGGTTTGGACCAGAATCTCCAGCGTAGTAATTCGCACTAAAGATGGCAGGAATAAGTGCAGAAAATATATTTATTGATTTATTTTTATTTTATTTATTGCATTTATGTGCCGCCCATCTAGACATAGTCTACTCTTTACATGCTGTGCAAATTTACCTAGTGCTCAAGGGAACATAACGTTTAGTTATGAACTTAACCATGACACTCAAATAAGAACTGTGAGGAACACATTAGTTTGTCCCTTCATTTATACTTATTTCAACCAGTCAAATTAGCTTTTTACCTCAAGGTAGCTGATTTCCTACAACTGTGTTCTACTAGTCACAGAGGCAGTGACTAATTAACGCCACTTGTATTAAACAATTACTAATTACAACTACTGCTTCCATCTCTTGTAAGGGACGTGATGATTGTGCCCACTGGTTCTCCCCCAAGCCCCAGAAGCTCAAGTAGGGGATGAAAAGCAGAGAACAAAAAAGGAAGCGACACACATTTTTAGGGGTGGGGGTCATTTTGTTTTTAATTGTCTTCCCTTGTTGTTCTTATTCTTGTTGTTTAGTCATTAAATCATGTCCGACTATTTGTGACCTCATGGACCAGAGTATACCAGGTCGCTTCGGTGACCCTGTCCAGCCATCTCGTCCTCTGTCGTCCCCTTCTCTCCTCTTGCCTTCACACTTTCCCAACATCAAAGTCTTTTCCAGGGAATTTTCTCTTCTCATGAGATGGCCAAAGTATTGCCGCCTCAGCTTCAGGATCTGTCCTTCCAGTGAGATCTGAGGGTGGGGAGGGCTTCTCCTGCGGGGGGGCAGGAGAGGGGCCGATCCTGATCTGGGGGAGGCCGTTGCCCTTCTCGGCCACCCAGAAACCTCTCCCCCCTTCCAAATCCTCTCCAACTCAGCACCTTGACCCCCCCCAAAAAAGTCAGGTGGCCACTCACCAGAGCTCCCTCTTTTTCCGATGGGGGGGAAGGGAAGAAAAGCCACATTCAAGGAGGGAGGGGTGCAGGACAGGGAGGTCTCTTCCCCCTCCTCGCTTTCTGGAGCCCCCAAGTTAGTTGTTGTTGTTGTTGTTGTTGTTGTTGTTGTTGTTGTTGTTGTTGTTGT